ATAAGAAAATAAATAATAATCCCTGCTTTTCTCTACTTGGCCTCTGGGATTTTGCATTAGCTCAGACCATCTCTATGGCTGCCCTGGTGTGCTGGTCTCCTGCCCAGCTCCAGACCAGCAGTGACTGAGGAGTCTGCTTTTTTCCTGAGGCTCCCAGCCTGGCCACATGCCCAAAGGGACTCTGCTGCTGTCAGCTTGTCTTTCGTGACAGTCTTCCCCAAAACTTGTAGTTTTTTTCTTACTTTGAGTAACAGCTGTGATTTCGGGCAGGGGTGGACACACTCCCGGCCAGGACTGTGTGGGTCAGCAGCCCTGCTGCTGCGACCCATAGGCATCTCACTGGAAATTGCTTTGAAACAAACTGGGCTTTTGCCATAGCCCCTCTGGGGTTTGGATTTTGCCATTAACACTTCTCCCTGTGCCGTACACAGCCGTGGATGTGTTTTCAAGCACTGCCACTAAGCTGGAACTCAGTGCAGAGCAGACCCTGCTTGCTGTCCCTGCGTCCCCAGTGAGCCTCATGCACACTACCTGTGCACAGCACCAGCTTTTGGGAGGATGCAAAACAAAAACAGCCCCAAACCCCTGTGATTCTGGGGTGGACTGCTGCATAACTGTGGATTTGCTGCAAGACTGCATGTGCTGCAAGCTGCCAACCTGCTCTCAGGTCTCCAGCTGTCCCCAGCTTCCCCCCCCCCCAGGGCGAGCATCAGCTGGGTGTAGGGATGCCACTCGCACCCAAGGGAGAAGGCAAAGAAAAAGCCTTGGGAAAATGTCTTTTATTGCAAAAGGAGCAAATCAAAGGACATCTCATCCCCCAAGCGTAGCTGTGATGCCTGTGCTAGTGACACCTGGGTGGCACGAGGCGGGCTGCGGTTTGTAACAACGGAACGGGCAGGAAAACATTGTGTGTGTCAAAGGGGTTGGTGTGGGGCAAGGCAGGCTCTTCAGTGAGTTTCATGTGCTCCATATCTGGCACTCTTGTAGCTATAAACATCCACCCCGTCCCCCCTCTCAGCTGTCAGAGCCGATGGACAAGGGGGATCCTGGGGGCAATGGGGACAGCCAGGGCCCAGATGGACCTTCTGGGGTGCCCAGGGGAAGCCAAGAGCAGCCTCCTCTTCATCACCGCCTGCAAACAGTCCCAAAGCATGTGTCTTCTGAGACCCGTGTAGACCGGCAACCTCCCAGAGCTGGTGTCAATGGGCCCTTTTTGGGTGGATGTCAGCAGAAATATGGGTGTGACAGTCTGGTCCCCACCCCTGGGGGTGGATCCAGCATCGGCGTTTGCCTAGACAGGTCTCTTCCAGGCCAGCCCTAAGACATAGCGATTCCCTTTGCTGTTGGCAACCAAGCGAGGCCAATGTGTGACCCACACCACTGGGTCATGTCCATATCTCCATCTCCTGCCACCACCGTAAACAGAAGAGCACGGGGGCTGCCAGCTCCTCTCTTTAAAACACATCAAAGCTGCAGGTTGAAAGCTTTAAATAAACCAACAATCTCAACTCTGATTTTGGAGAAGTCTGGATGAAAAAAGCCCCAAATCTTCCTGAAGCACCAGCCCCAGGTAACATGGTACAGATAAACATAGTTAAACTTCCTTTTGTTTTCCAAAGTTTTATATCAATCAAGGCGATTCATGTTACAGTTCTGTTTTCATAACAATTAAGAGTTAGAAAAGTGGTTAAAAACAAACCCACCAGCATTACAGTCTGAAGTAGGAGGGCACCTGCAAACACAAGCATCCAGAAAACCCAGCACACGACAGTGCAAGCTTCAAAATTCAATCACAGGGACATCACGTTGACCTGCTGCTCAGCCACGATCCACCATGGGCTGGGGAGGAAAAGGCTGAACCCAACGCTGAAACTTCTTTTGGGGCTTTTCCTTGTCTGAGTCTAACTAAGCCCTGTTTTGGCCAGCGACCCATGATGTAAATCAGAGAAATCTCCCCAGCTAGTGGTTCCCAAGGTGCCTGTGCACACAGCACTGGTGGTTTCTGAGGTCCCAGAGGTCCTCGAGTCCTGCAGGGCTACAGCATAGTATTAGAAATAAATAGTGGTTTTGGTAAAAAGTTGGATGGAGAGGGCACCTAGAAGCCTTTGAGATAACTTGAGGCAGGACTGCTGAGCCTGTCCCCATCATGCAGAAAAAGGCCTGGTGCCAGGGACCCACAGAGAGCTACGCATATGGACCTGCTCATCAGCATCATCCCTTATGCCCTCCCAACAGCTTTACCTTTTTCCTAGCTGAAGCACTGAATAGCCACAGATATGCCCTAACTACAGCATTTATAAAAATAAGGGCACTCTATAATCTTATAGATTCATGTAGTTAAATAAAAAGTAATACTTTGATAATAAAAACCTTTCTTTTGAGGGGAGGGGAAGGAGGATGGTGTGTCTAACAGGGACTTCCCTCTGTGATCTTCCTCACAGTGCCTGAAACCACTGCAAAGGGATTGAAGGCACTCATCTGGCTGGTCCCACCATTTTCATAATAAAGGGGTACTAATGGGAATGCTGGCTTTCTCTTCTCGTAGCCTCACCCCTTACTAGTGAGGGATGTGCTGAGTGGCACAGCGGAGACAGCGAGAAGAAGACATGTAACATCCCCTGGTCGTGCTGCGATCCTTCCCACGAAGTCCTGTGCCCAAGACCCCACACCTTCACTGGCAGCTGAGCTGTACAGCAACGTCTCCTCCACCCAATGACTCCCATGCCAAGGGAGGACAAGTGTTTCACAAGCAAAGGCTGAAAGGGAAGAGCTGGAGCCCCTCAAAGCATGGCCTTTTTGCATTTCTGGAGCTGCAGAAGCACTCTCCACACCCTGTCCTCCTTGCAGGATGCGGTCAGACTCACATCCAGCAACTCCTCACCTTAACCTCCACCCTCTAGTCCAAGGGCCAAATCCTGCCCGTGCTCTGATGACTGACACCAGGGCTCCAGGATTAACTCCTTGCCAGAGGGTCTCTGTAACTTGTAACACAACTGCTGTGTGCGCTGATGGCAGGGAACAAACATGAGTCCTTTGTGTCTAAATGCCACAAGAAACAGGCTTTGGGACACGCTTGTTCTCCCATTGGGCAGGGACCTACAGGGCTCCCCTGCATCTCATTTTGAGGCTGAAACACCAGAGCATGCAGGACTGATTCAGACCACAAGGGATGCTCCAAAGAGTCCATCAAACTGGACTTCTCCCTTCTTAACTATAAAAGTACTTCTGATTTTGCCCCAGACACCTGAATTTCTACTCCTGGGCCCCGTCACAGCCCTCGGGCTTAGCGCATGTCCTTTTCTGCCTCCTGCAATACCCAGTTCAGAAGATGGGCTTTGAGAAAGACCCTCACTGATACCCAACCCTACCCAAAACACACCTCCATCTCCCCGGGTGACAGACTCGCAACAGACCCACGCTCAGCCTAGACACAATCTCATGAGAAACCCTGCAAATGCTGAGCTCTCCTTGGCTGGGCACAGCCTGGGCAGGGTGCCCCAAACCCTCCCAGCCAACACAGTTCAATTCTGCGGAGGCTCATTGCAAATTCAGGGGCTGAAATGTGCTCCCAACCAAGGAACAGCCAGGAATGTCCTACCCAGGTGAGGAAGGCTGCCAGACTTCAATCCTGTTTGCTCTGTCTTGGAGCGGAGATTGCCTACAGTTCTCTGTAAATGTATCTTCCCATACAAAACCAAGTGGGAAAGCCGGGAAAGAGGCATCTCTGCAGCTCCATCCTGGCTGCTGGGGACTTGGGGGGCAGGACCATGTCACCCCATGTCCCCTCAGAAGCCTCTGACAGCAACCCCACCTCCAGCACTGCAAACGCTGCCTGAGGAAGGCCCCGATTCTCCCAGGAAGAGTGGAGGGCTGCTTCAGAAAAACCCTCACCAAACCCATCACATCTGAGTGCGACCTGAGACAGAGATGGATATTAGCTTAATTTCATGGTAGATGAGAGCGTTTCCGCAGGTGCAGTGAGAACGCCTGCGGGCGCAGACCCATCAGTGCAAAAGCCGGTGTTTTCCACCCACCAGCAAGCCGGCTAGCAGCAAACGTCACCATCAGTCCAAGACAAGTGCCGCTTTGCAGGAACTGGCTGTTCCCAGGGAAGCGCCGCTCGTACTTGTCGAGAACGGCTTTGCTTCAGGCAGTCCTTCTGCCAGCAACAAACCTGAAAGCTCATCTGTCCTTAAAAAACCACAGGGATGACATCGGTAGGATGATCAGTGCGTGAAGCACGACGATAAATGATTTAAAAAGACTAATGGGGCACGCTGGTGTGGACGGTGCTGCTCTAGGAAAGGCAATGTTGACACCCAAGGCAAAACACACAGGCAAGAGCCTTGCAGTGGGTGTTAAATGGGCGAGGAGGTGGGATGCAGCTGCCCCAGCCAGTGATACGCAGCCCATACAGTTAAAATACCTGGACGTCACTCAAGTAACGTGGCCCGCCTGGTACCCGGAAAAGCAGAGGCATGGGGCCACAGTGCCACGAGACCTAAGGGGGAAAAAAGCCTATGTGTACATATATGTATCTATAGTTTGGTTTCTGCTCTTGAAAAAAGTCCTTCTAAATACATTTGCCATATTATAAAACTAAGGCAGCCTGTGCTGATGCAACCCTCCCACGTCACACACCCCCATGCCCAGAGCCGGGTGCTCCCACGAGACCAGAAACACTCCCACTGTCACTAACCAACCTCCACCTCTTTAAATCCTTGGGAAGTGAAAAGGTATTGGGCTTAGCACATGTCTGCAGACAGACTGACAATGCCATCCTGACCTAAACAGAGAAAATTCTGCCTACCATAACCCAACCAGAGACTCCTACCGGCCCCAAATTAAAAAAAAATATCACCCCAGAGATAAATAGACAGTGAAGTCTATTTAATTCCCTTCCTCAAGCCCAGTCTCAAATGAAATGTGCAATTAGAATTATTATTTGTTACAAAGTCGTAGGTAAGGCATGGTTATCCCAAAGCTGATGGAGGACCCTGTTAGGAAACCCAGAGGAAATAGGCGACTTCGTCCAGGTCAACGGGATAGTCGGTGAGCAGCACTGGGGTCTTCTCAAACAGCTCCCCCTTGTAGCTGCGCCACTTGCCCGCCGGCAGGTAGACGTCGCGCTCCTGCTTGCCCATCTCCAGGACGGG